GGAATTCCCGTTGCATTGGGAGCTTGTGGTTCCCTGGAGAATTCCCAACAAACTGGAAGCTCGTGGCTCCCCATGGAATTCCCATTGCACTGGGAGCTTGTGGATTCTCAGGGAATTCCCATTCCATTGGGAGTGCGTGGCTCCCAAGGGAATTCCCAACAAACTGGGAGCTCGTGGCTCCCCAGGGAATTCCCGTTGCACTGGGAGCTTGTGGTTCCCCAAGGAATTCCGGCCGTGCCGGTTCCCGTTCGGGATCGGCTCTGCTGGAGCCAACATTCCAACCCCCCATTCCAGGGGCTGCCAGGTGATGGCAGCACCGGAACGTTCCCTCCTCCGGCAGCTCCGAGGGCTCCGGCAAAAACGAGTCGGGATTTTCCTCTATTTCCCACCCAATCCTTTGGGATTTTCCTCTATTATTTCCCACCCAATCTCTTTGGGATTTTCCTCCATTTCCCACCCAATCCTTTGGGATTTTCCAGGTGTGGAGTGCAGATCTCTGCTGAGAATTCCAGGGGGAGGGAAGGCCCCTTTCATCCTGTGGGAAAAGGTGGATCCAGGCCCCGGGGGTACCTTGTTGTAGATGTAGCAGTTTGTAAACATGGTGTTGAAATCCTGGATACATTCCTGGGCGTTCCAGTAGTAATTGTTCTCCAGGCGCTTCTTTATTGTTCCCATGTCCATCGGGGTTTTAATGATCTTGTAATAATCCTGGGGAAGGGGGAAGGGACAGAAATCAGGCTGGGAAGGAAAAGTCCAAAGGGTTGAGGTTCCTCTGGGTCTCTCTTATACCTGGATACACCTGGATCCAACCACTGGATCACCAAATCCAACCATGGAATCTCCAAATCCAACCATGAGATCACCAAATCCAACCATAGGATCACCAAATCCAACCATGAGAACACCAAATCCAACCATGAGATCACCAAATCCAACCATAGGATCACCAAATCCATCAGGTCACCAAATCCAATCATCAGGTCACCAAATCCAACCATCAGATCACCAAATCCAACCATCAGATCTCCAAATCCAACCATCAGATCGCCAAATCCAGCCATGAGATAACCAAATCCAACCACTGGATCACCAAATCCAACCATCAGGTCACCAAACCCAACCATCAGATCACCAAATCCAACCATGAGAACACCAAATCCAACCATGGAATCTCCAAATCCAACCACTGGATCACCAAATCCAACCACTGGATCACCAAATCCAACCATGGAATCTCCAAATCCAACCATCAGGTCACCAAATCCAACCATGGAATCTCCAAATCCAACCATCAGGTCACCAAATCCAACCATCAGATCACCAAATCCAACCATCAGATCACCAAATCCAACCACTGGATCACCAAATCCAACCATCACATCTCCAAATCCAACCACTGGATCACCAAATCCAACCATCACATCTCCAAATCCATCCACTGGATCACTGAGTCCAATCACTGGACCAGGAATCCAACGGCTGCATCGTGAATCCAAGTCCAACCACTGGATCAAGTCCAACCCTCAATGACCGAGTCTAACCATTGGATCATGGAGTCCAACCATTGGATCCAACCACTGGATCATGGAGGCCAACTGTTGGATCCAACCATTAGACCATGGAGTCCAACCATTGGATCACCGAGTCCAACCACTGGATCATGGAGTCCAACCACTGGATCACTGAGTCCAATCATTGGATCAAGTCCAACCACTGAATCATGGAGTCCAACTGTTGGATCCAACCATTGGATCACCAAGTCCAACCACTGGATCATTGAGTCCAATCATTGGATCAGACTCCAACCATTAGACCATGGAGTACAACCACTGGATCAAGTCCAACCACTGGATCAAGTGAGTCCAACCACTGGACCACCTACTCCAACCATTGGATCAACCCCAACCATCGGATCAGAGTCCAACCACTAGACCATGGAGTCCAACCATTGGATCATGGACTCCAACCACTGGATCAGAGTCCAACCGTTGGACCACCTACTCCAACCGTTGGATCAACCCCAACTGCACAGGTCAAGTTCTGTGACCTCTGGACCGGGAGGACACCCCCGTGTGCCACGCCCCACCCGTGCCATACGCCCACCCGTGCCACGCCTCCCGCACTCACGGGGAGGTTGAGCTTGACGGCGTCCACGGGCTGCTGGAAGGGCCACGCGAACTGGTGCTTCCAGAGCGTCTTGAGCACCACCTTGAGCAGGTACTGCAGCTGGTTCGTTTGGCGCTTGGGCTTGTTGGGGTTGGAGGTCTCCGGCGGGGGGGGGTTGACGCCGATGCCGATGCCCTGCTGGGGCTGGGCCTGGGCCGGCGTCGTGGACATCTGGGAGCTCTCCAGCCCGTCCCCCATCACCGGCAGGTTCCGCAGCCTCGTGCCGGGGCCGCTCTCCGCCGCCATGCTGTTGATCCCATTGCACTCCTCACCGGACACCCTGCGGGGAGGGAAGAGGAGGACCCTTCAATCCTGGCTTTGGGTTACCTAAAAACCGACCCGGGGATCTCCCCCGGACCGGGCGGTGTCCTCGCGGTGACCGCGCCGGGCCGTCACAACCGACGGGCGTCCCCCATTGGGAGAGGACGTTCCCGTCCCGTTTCCCGTCCCCGCTCCTCGGGAGCCGGAGTTTTACCCTGTTCTTGCCTAATCTGGTCAAGGAGGACTCCGAGGTTCTCCGTGAAGAGCTTCCACTGCCTCAGAACGAGGCTCCTGGGTCCCGGCAGGAACCACCAGGACGCCAAGAACGGGCGTTAAACTGGGGCTGGTCAACCTTCATCTCTGGCTGAAGGGGCACAGGGTGACCCACGGGGCTCCCTCCAGCTTCTCCAGGGTCCCACCCCCCCTGGGGGGTCAGCTGAGCCCAGTTCCACCCCAAAGACTGACTTTCAGGGGAAGGTTGAGCTCTGACAGGGACAGACCCAAATTTAACTCGTGGGATCTTTTGGGAGAGGGTTGAAGGTCTAATTTAGGGAGATCATTCTTAGGTAGGTCATTAGGTGGGGAATCTTTGCCTCAATAATCTTCAGGTTGACCAACCTTTGGGTCAACGAGTCTTTGGGTCAACCAATCTTTGGGTCGATAAATCTTTGCGTTGACCGATCTTTTCATCAATGAATCTCTGGGTCAGCCAATCTTTGGGTCGATCAATCTTTGGGCTGATAAATCCTTGGACTGACCAACCTTTGGGTCGACCAACCTTTGAGTCAATAAATCTTTGGGTCAATAAATCTCTGAGTAAATAAATCCTGGGGTCGATAAATATTTTGGTCAATAAATCTTTGGGTCAGCAATGTCTGGGTCAACCAATCTTTGGGTCAATGAATATTTGAATCAATGAATCTTTGGGTCGATGAATCTTTGGGTCAACCAACATTTGGGTCAATAAATCTTTGGCTCAATAATCTCTGGGTCGACCAATCTTTGGGTCAACCAATCTCTGGGTCAATAAATCTTTGGCTCAATAATCTCTGGGTTGACCAATCTTTGTGTCAATGAATCTTTGGGTCAATGAATCTCTGGGTCAACAAATCTTTGAGTCAATAAATCTTTAGGTCAGTGAATCTTTGGGTCAATAAATCTTTGGCTCAATAACCTCTGGGTTGATCAATCTTTGGGTCAATAAATCTTTGGGTCAATGAATCCTTGGGTTGACCAACCTTTGGGTCAACCAACCTTCGTTTGGGTCAACCAATCTTTGGGTCAATGAATTTTGGGTTGACCCACCTTTGGGTCAACCAACCTTTGAGTTAATGAATTTTTGGGTCAATAAATCTTTGGGTCAATGAATCTTTGGGTCAACCAACATTTGGGTCAACCAATCTTTGGGTCAATAAATCTTTGGCTCAATAATCTCTGGGTTGATCAATCTTTGGGTCAATGAATCTTTGGGTCAATGAATCTTTGGGTCAACCAATCTTTGGGTCAACGGAGACATCCAGGGAGACCCAGGTAGACAAACCCTCAAATAATTACTGTTGGTGGATAACTGAGGTAGGAAATAACCCTGAGTGGTTAATTTGCATAGATAATTGACGGGGGCCACCTTCAGGTCATTAACCCAGGCAGGTGACCCCGAACTTGCTCATTTGCATAACGAGGGGGGGTCATTTCCTTCCGTGGATAATCGTGGCCCGTATGGATCATTTGGGATAATCCGGGGTGGGAATCCGACCCCACACGACTCCGGGGGGTGGTTTACACGGATAATCCTCGGGAACTTCATTTCAGCATCATTCCAAGACCAGAAATTTGGGAAAACTGTCATTTCTCGGGCTGTTTTCCGGGAGTTTTTTTTCCCGGAAGTTTCTCCCGGAAGTTTTTCCCGGAGTTTTTTCCCCCCACTCCCCCTGGGAGGCCCCGTTACCTTGTAGGATACATTGCCATGGAATTTTGCCCCGGAAAACGCTGCGGAGTCAGAAGTCGCTTGGCTTGTCCATCTATCGGCCGTGGCTCCGGGCACAGATGCCTCCAGATCCCGAATCTGGGAGAACAAACACGCCCTGAATCCCGGGAATCCAGCCCAGGCACCGGGAACACGCCCTGGATCCCGGGAATCCAGCCCAGGCACCGGGAACACGCCCTGGATCCCGGGAATCCAGCCCAGGCACCGGGAACGAGGGAAAACCCCAGGGAATTGAGCCAACGGCTCCGAGCGCGGCTCCGGATGGAATTCCCGAATTCCTGCCCTCCGGGGACGCCCCAAAAAGTCCCGAAATCAGGAATTCCACGGGGAGAAGGATCCCAGGGGGGTCCTCACCTGAATTCCCAGTTGCCCTTCCCACTGTCGCTCCCTCAGCAGCCGAAGGCTCCGAGCGGCATCTTCGGCTCCGAGCAGCTCTGGGAAGGCTCTGCAGGGACAACATTCCATGAATTCCAGGGGTCAACAGTCCCAAGGAATTCCAGGGGTCAAGGACAACAATCCAGGAATTCCAGGGGTCAACATTCCCAAGGAATTCCAGGGGTCAACGTTCCCAAGGAATTCCAGGGGTCAAGGACAACATTCCCACTCAATTCCCAGGTTCAAGGACAAAATTCCCAGGTCCAAGGACAACATTCCCAACAAATTCCGGGGTTTTAGCCCCAAAGGCTCTGCAAGGACAACATTCCATGAATTCCCGAGTTCAAGGACAACATTCCCAATTAATTCCCGCGGTCAAGGACAACATTCCCAAGATAAAGGACAACATTCCCAATGAATTCCGAGTTTTTAGCCCCGAAGGCTCTGCAAGGACAACATTCCCAATGAATTCCTGGGTGCAAGGACAACATTCCCAAGGAATTCCCAGGGTCAAGGACAACATTCCTGAGTCAAGGACAGCATTCTCAATGAATTCCCAGTTTTTAAGGACAACATTCCCAATGAATTCCCAGTTTTTAGCCCCAAAGGCTCTGCAAGGACAACATTCCCAAGGAATTCCCGGGTGCAAGGACAACATTCCCAAGGAATTCCCAGTTTTTAAGGACAACATTCCCAAGGAATTCCAGGGGTCAAGGACAACATTCCTGCCCAATTCCCGGGTCCAAGGACAAAATTCCCAATGAATTCCAATTCCCAGGTTCAAGGACAACATTCCCAATGAATTCCCGGGTGTAAGGACAACATTCCCAATGAATTTCCAGGGTCAAGGACAACATTCCCAATGAATTCCCAGTTCAAGGAAAACATTCCCAATGAATTCCCAGTTTTTAAGGACAACATTCCCAACGAATTCCCGAGGTCCAGGACAACATTCCGGCCCAATTCCCAGGTGCAAGGACAACATTCCCAATTAATTCCCAGCAAGGACAACATTCCCAATGAATTCCCTGGTCCAAGGACAACATTCCCGAGCCAAGAACAACATTCCCACTGAATTCCCAGGTTCAAGGACAACATTCCCAATGAATTCCAATTCCCAGGTCCAAAGACAACATTCCCAATGAATTCCCAGTTTTTAAGGACAACATTCCCAATGAATTCCCAGTTTTTAGCCCCGAAAGCTCTGCAAGGACAACATTCCCAAGGAATTCTCGGGTCCAAGGACAACATTCCCAATGAATTCCCGGGGTCAAGGACAACATCCAAGGAATAACAGAGATCAGGGGAATCAGTTCCTTGGGAATAACAGGGAGCAGCCAAAGGCCCCAAACCAACCCCCGATCCCTGAAATTCCCACTTTTCCTCCCCAAAAACGGGAATTTTTCCCTCAAAAGGCACCAGACCCACCTCCAACCCCCCGGAATTCCCACCCCAATCCCGGCTCTCCCGGCGTTCCCGGAATTCCCGGATGTTTTCCCGGCGCTCCCTGGTTTTGGTTGGTGCCCCTGGAATTTTTTTTCCGGCTGTTTTGTGCTTCCCTGGCTCGGATCAAACCCCCCTCCCCCCCTGGGAGTCATTCCAGGATTATCCCAAAGCCCTTGGAAAAGTCTAATTAGGAACCGCCCCAGGAATTCCTCTTCCCAGAAATCCCCAGGAATGGCGACCGAGCTCCTTCTTCCCGCTAAACCCGGGATCAGGAGGCCAGTCCCGCTCCCCGGAGCTGCGGCAGCGCTTCCCAGATATTTGGCACTCCGGAATTTGGGAGGAAATCCCCGATTTTCCCGCCGGTTTCCGGCGAAAGCGACGCCCGGCACAGAATTCCCAAAAAATTCCCAAGGAGAGGCTCCAAAATATCCAGGGAAAAGGATGAAAGGTGGTTCCAAAGGAGCAGTTTTGGGTCTCTCAGCAGGTTCAGATCCCGTTCCCAAAGTTCCCGCTGGGAATTCCAGTCCCTTTCCCAAAAAATTCCAAAGGAGAAGCTCCAAAATATCCGGGAAAAGGGATGAAAGGCAGCCCCGAAGGAGCAGTTTCGGGGTTTGGATCCCAATCCCAAAGTTCCAGCTGGGAATTCCAGTCCCTTTCCCAAAAAATTCCCAAGGAGAAGCTCCAAAATATCCGGGAAAAGGGATGAAAGGCGGTCCCAAAGGAGCAGTTTCGGGGTTTGGATCCCAATCCCAAAGTTCCAGTTGGGAATTCCGGTCCCACTCCAAGGTATCCCAGCGCCTTTCCCGGGATGCTCTGAGCGATATCCGGGCGGGAAGCGCCGCATCCCGAGGGAGCTTCCCGGTTTTCCGGCAGGACGAGTTTGGAGAAGCTCCAAAACCGCCTGAAAATCCTTTGGGTCGCTGCTTTTCCGAGAGTTTTCCCAAAATCCCACGGCGTTCCCAGAGGTGCTGCTGCTCGGAAGACTCGGAGCAGGAAAGTCCCGGGCCGGAATTCCGATCCCTCCGGATCCCTCCGGATCCCTCCGGATCCCGCCGGCTCCTCCCAAGGGCCGTTGAGGGGAACTCGAGGCCGTTATCCAGGGAAAATCCCTTTTCCAGGGGGATTCCGACCCCTTTTCCCGGCGCCGGGGCGGCTCCTCCGTGGCCTGGACGCATCCAGGTTTTTCCCAATCCCGGCTGAGGGAACTTCTTCGGGCGTTTTCCGTGGGAAGGAGCAGGATTTGGGATGGATCCGGAGCCGGGAGCCCCCGGCAGCTTCTCCCCTCCCCCCAACCCCAGGGAAAAGCCCGGGATGCTCCGAAGGCTTCGGGATCAGGATGTGGGAGAGCTCTGGGACGCCCCCCCCACCCCCTCCCGGCTCCCTCGGGCTCCAATTCCCTGGAATTTTCAGTGGGAAAACTCCCAGTTAGACGCAGATCCCAAACCCTCCCCCCGGACACGGCTCAGCCCAGAATTCCCGACGGGAGCCGCCATCCTTCCATCCCACATCCGGCACATTCCCGGGGGATTCCGGCTC